GCAGATCTATCAGCAATCCCAACACACTCTATCCATCCATTTGAGCACTCAATTTCTGCAAGCATCCCCCTAATCTGCAGCATAATGAGCCATCTCATTGGGCAAATGTTGTCGGAAACGCAATTTCTCTTTGTCAATTCCAAGGTTTTAATTGGAACGCTCTGCCAATGAAGTAGCCAAGAGTCTCATTGTTGACAGTTCCCTATTAATGATAACAAAATGAATTAAAACTGAAGTTAAATGATGATACTAAAATAATATTAAACATGTTATACTATGATTACTTCAAACCTGTTTCTTGTAAGCCTATATTATCATTTAATAAATTCAGTGGCTACCCGGAAATAATGGGTCAAAAAATGAATTAGCTTCTTTTTGTACTATTGATTTGTTACAATTATGGTTAAACAGGAAACAGTGCACAATCATCCTAGATACAAAACAGCCGATGGAACAATCGAACCTCTGGATCCATCTCCTTATGACTTTGATATGAGAGAAGGATGTAGAAGATGAAGGAAGAGCTCAACCTAATACAGAAAATCTTCTTACAAATTGGCCACTAACGTCATCAATCATTGTATATTGCGTTTTTTCCCTTCATGATACAGTCTACACCAAGGTAAAATTTGATATTTTACCTCGTCTTTCTGAGTGTTTTCTGTCAACACATAGTATTATGTATTAGTTTGAATATTAACATGCTTTAGCAAGTCTTGACTGTAAACTTACAATCCTTGAGTTTGTACAGTGCGTGCATGGGTGCATGCATGCGTGTTGTGTGTGCGTGCATGTGTGCGTGTGCTTGCATCCAATAATAAACTTGTATCATAGTAGAACATGTTTACATCCAATAATAAACTTGTATCCAGTTCTACCCCTTGGCTGGTTCCTTTTGACCACTTGATGTTTTACTTGTCCTTATGCTAATCTATCGATCTTTTATTAATTTCTAGTTAGATTTAGTAACCAAATCTAAATTTTTAGATCTTCTCGCTATGGGCTGAGAGTGACAGAAAATTTGGAGGGTTAAGTTTTTCATCTGAGGATGTTGGTGAGGTTCTGTCAATTTCGGGTATGTAAATGTTGAACCCATATTTGGTTAAATGATGTTTCGTGTTATCCAAGTGACTGTGACACTATAGGATTATGGTTTTGGTCTCTATAATGCTAAGAGTGTCATGAATATATACGGATATTTATTTAGTTTTAACAGCATAATTTAGGGTCCTGATGCCCGTCGACCTTTAGATATTGTTCTGTGATTTTTTTTGGGTGAGTAAGCAGCGTTTCTTATTATCAGTGACAGAAATAAAGTTCAAACATTCTGTAAAGTTGTTCGTATAGTATAAAGTTTAGTGAACCTGACTTTCCAGAATTTGCAGCGAAAGTGGTGAACATTATGTAATGTACTAACTATTATCACTGAATATTATCAGAATCCCAATGAGAGAGTGTGAATATCTTAGAATAAAAAAATAGATAATTAGAATCACACACACACAAATGAAGTGCTATTGTGTAATACTTGATTATGTAATGTACTAACAATTATCACTAAATATTACCAGAATCCCAATGAGAGAGTGTGAATATCTTAGAATCAACAAAATAGATAATTAGAATCACACACACACACGTATATATATCCAACTCCCAATTATTGTTCACATGAAAATTCAGGTTATATTTTCCCTTATTGAGCTTGAACACCATTACAATGACTACTTTTATGTAAAGCAAACAGTCGGTATCCTTGACTCTACATTGTTTGCAAATTGAATATATAATGAGGTTCTTTTAGATGCAATAAATTTCAGGTTCTTTTAGGTGCATTAAATTTTATTACACCTTCAAATTTGGATAACATGCAAAGACAACTAATAGTGTTTCCACATCTAAAAAGAACTTTCTTTTCAAAAACAGGAATAAATAATTAGTTTTCTCTGGAAAGTCATATTTTCTGTTTTTCAAGAAGAAAATCAAAGGGATAACTTCTTAAACTTATTGAAGACCTTCTTCTATAGTAATACATATTTTTGAAGCCATATAAATAACAAAATTATCTTTCTCGCATATATCAAGTCACATAAGCCATTTCTGAACTGAAAACAAATCTTTCAATTGAGGTCAGCTTAAAGCAGTAAGCAATCCATATTTACTAAAAGACATAAAAATTAAGCACAAAGTATATCTTAGTCTGTCCAATCTGCGAGTTTTGTTCTAGCAATTAATGATGAAATTTAAAATGGACTATTAATTACACACTCTAGAAATCGGTGGAGTTCTTATTATCCATCTTCTTCAGCATGAGCTCTTTCATTTTAATTGCTTTTAGCTTTTCAAGCTTCACAACTTCTGCTTCCACCTAAACAATGGATATAAGTGCTTTTCGAGTGACTTCTTCATGGTAATCTTATACTCTCTCGACAGGTAATGCATTCTAAAAACAATAGCAGATAAATCTAAAATTAAAAACAGATCAAAAAGGTAAGAGAGAGAAATCTCACACGCTGGCATATTCTCACCCCAAAAGCTTCACCGGCTTCCCCGATCTCGGCGACATAAGATGCGACGTCGAGAGCTCCTCCGGCCCCCAGAATCCTCCCCGGACACCACGATCCATTCCTTCTCCTCGCCCAAACTATCGTCCCAACCAAGCAGTCAACGATGCTCCCGCCTTCACCTCCATCAGAGCCCCCCATCACCCTAGAAAGTGATCGCTTCAACCACCGAAGAAGGCGAGCGTGATCATGGCGATTACAGTTACCGTTGATCTGATCCAAGGTTACCGTGGATCTGATCCAAGGAGGGCCTAGGGTTTCCATTCACGCGTAGCAGGACCTCATCGATCTGATCTCCTTCATTCTTCAGAGCTCCGGTGAGATCGCCTTCATCGTCTTCTTCGTTCGTTCTCTTCGATTCAATCGATAGATCGATCGATCGATAGGCTCTTTTACTTCTTTCGGCGAATCGAAGAGGACTCTCCTATAAGATCCCCTGTTTTTTCTTAAAGGCCGCCCTTGAGGCGACCTTCAAAGGCGTGGATGTATCATACTTTCTTTAAAAGCACGAGTTCGGAAAATCTTTTTTAGACAAATATACCCCTTTATAGTTTGAACTACCTTATCTATAATCAAATTCTAATTTTCAATGGTCAATATTACCCTTCACTATTTTAAATTTTTTATTTATATCTTAATCTATCCTAATCATAATCATATCTTATCCTAATCCTATGTGAACCATGTTTAGCTTATATATATTAAAAAAATAATATTAATAAAATATATAAAACATAAAAATGATATTAGTTTGTTAAGATAAAGAAATTACAAGTAGATAACATATTATAATACATGAAGTATTGCCAAAAAACCATAAAAAGTTTTAAAATTGTAAAAAAGACTCTAAAAAGTTCAAAATTATAAAAATCATCCTAATGTCTCAAAACTTAAAATAAAAAACCTGAAATTAAAAAATTAACATCAGTTTGTAAAGAATTTAAAATTTACAGTTAACACCTCAATGTCTCAAAAATTATAGAAACACCCTCAAAAGTTTAAATTACAGACAAGCACATTAAAATTCTAAAATTTTAAAACTTACAAACAATACAGATGAATTCAAGAGATTACCATGATACACCTAAAATTTTTGATATTTAAATTTAAATTTTTTAATTAACACCCTCAATATCTCAAAAATTATAGAAACACCTTCAAAAGTTCAAATTATAAAAAACCACCCTAAAATTATAAAATTTGTAAATAACATAAGATGAATTCAAGATATTACCCTTAGACACCTAAGAAATTAAAATTTGCCAAAATTAACCTTAAAATTTTTTAAAAACTCCTTCAAAATTTAAAAATTGTAAAAAAAACTCTAAATTTTTAAAATTTTTAACTAGCATACATCAAATTTGTCGATTGGTAGACCGCTGAAATTTAATATTTTTCAAAATTAATCTATAGTTTTAATAATTGTAAAAGACACTCTCAAAATTTTAGAGTTACAAGAAATATACTAACATTTAAAAAATTACCACCAACACATGAAACATAGAATTTACAACTACCAAACTTAAAAGTAAATTTTTTAAAAAACTCTTTCAATTTTTTAAAAATTACAAATCACACCCTCAAAGTTCAAAAACACAAAAATGGGCTAAAATTTTAAAACTTGGTAAAGAAAAGTGTAATTGTTTGGTATTTTTCATATATAACAAAAACAATAAGAATTGATTAAAAACATCCGGTTAATGGATAAAATTTTTAAAAATATTATAGATTAAAAATTTATCGGCACTATATAAATTAAATTAAATTCATATAATTTTAGTAATAAGTTGGGGTAGCCAAAATACATTCGTAACATTAATTGATAGATGTTTAAATCCATAGAAATGATAAAACACTATAATATTATACCTAAGTAGTGCTAATATCTCTTAAAAATATTATCAATCTCGTGAAGGGTTCACGAGTAATTTTATTTAACAAATACACCAAACGAAGAGAGGGAATTTTTTTTTAAAAAAAATAAAAAATTGTTCGTGTGAAGGACAGACACTAGAACACACCCATAGTAGAGCGGGCTAAGCTTAATGTGGGACCATTGAGAAACTTAAAGACGGATCAGATTCGGCCTAATAATGCTGAGCAAACCTTTGCTTCTTTAGAGCCCAGCCCATGGGCTTCGGCATTTTCTCACATTAAACAAACCCCTCAGAATTAGGGGGGATTTGTGAAGTTTTACCCCGAGCGAGCGAGAGAGAGAGAGAGAGGAAAAAAAAAAAAAAACACCAGCACCCTTCTCCCGCTGGTTGTGAGGATCGTCGTTAGTGATCTTCAAAACCGCCTTGGGGATAGGAATTATTCCTTCCGGAGCTTGCACCTCCGGGAGACCCGTCCCAAAGCTCAAAGTGACCATGTTCGCCGTCACCTGCTTTTGGACCTTCTCTTTCTTCAAGACCCCCGCGTCGTAGAGAGCGCCAGAGCCTTGCGCCTCCCCCTCGCCCGGCCTCAATCCAAGTGAAAATGGCGATCAGGAGAAATCCATTCATTTCCTCCCTCTCCCCCCTCCGCCTACTCTCCAATTCCTGCCCCGATCCTCAAACATCTAGGGCTTTCGCTCGCCATTTCCTCTCCTCGCCAAACCCTAGGGCTCAAATCCCCTTTCTTCGCTCCATCTTACGGAATTCTAGGGTTTCGAGAGCCTTCGCCTCCTCGTCGGAAACGGGCGGCGGCGGCGGAGCATCCGCGTGCTGGAACTGCGGGGCGGCGGCGGACTCGCCGGGGATTTTTCTCGTATGCGGATCGTGTAGAAGTGTCCAGCCTGTGGATCATTCGGTGGATTATTTCAAGATTTTTGGGCTGTAAGTAACTTTTTGTTGTTTCGGCTTCTTGTTTATATTGTTCTGAATGTTTTAATATTCGGAAAATTAATGCCCGTGCTAAAAAGTTTCAATTTTGGGTTCTGTTCACAGAGCTAATAGTCGTCATAGGACCTTATTGAGAAACTAAAAGCAAATTGCTTATGAGCACAGTTATGCATGATTATCTACGATGATACTATTACCTATTAGAAGTCAGAACAGCATAATCGTGTTATGTTTTAGCTGAAGTGAAGGAAATGAAGGAACTTGTTAGAATGTCAAAACCACAGGCTTAAAATAAGCTAGAGGAAATCGGGTGAATGTGTCCTTTTGGAGGCTACAAGAGGATTTTAGGGTAGGAATTCAATGGATTCCGGAGAATGATGATGTACTATCCCCTGAAGCCAGAGGGAATTATTACAATGGATCTAGATATGAAACTTTAATCCAAGTATCTGTCATCAAAAGATAATAAGAATGTAGACCCAAGTGGGCCCCAGGTGGAGAGAAGACAAGATAATCTCTGTTTGTAGAGACCAGTGAGCAAGGACATTTCGTTCATTAGAGTTAGAAAATGCCTTAAAAAGGTGATCTAAGGCATGAAGATACAGTGACAATAGTTCCTCATAAAATCATGGTAGAAGTATTACATGCACAAGCCTAAGGTGGTTCAATCGAGCTTAGCTACTATACCTTGGTGGATGCAAACGTTTAAGCCCGTCCATGCTTCTTTCTCGATTGTGCTGTTTCTCTTATAGTATCATAGACTGAAGCAGAAACTTTTATCATGCTAAGTGCTAACAACCTAAGCTGAAATTTAAATTATGATGGTAATTGTTATCATAGACTGAAGCAGAAACTTTTATCATGCTTAGTGCTAACAACCTAAGCTGAAATTTAAATTATGATGGTAATTGTTATACATTGCACCTTGCAAGGTTTTTAATAGTTTAATTGTAAACTTGTTTCTCTTGCATGTGCTAAAAGACTTGAAAGGAGACTACAATTGTCATAATTTAGCGTATAGATAGGAATCTAAATATTGTAGGCTGACTTCTCACGAGTCCTTGGTTCCAGTGGATGGGCAGACTGAATACCTGGCACAAACGTCTGTATGTTAGTATGTGAACTGTTGTTTGGGTGTCTTGGTGTCTGTGTTCATTATGAACTAGTAGGGGTAATAACCTCTTGGAAAGAGAGTATCTGGACTTGTGTTTCAAAAGGTCTTACTTTACATGAACTGCAAAAGTTGACTTCAAAAAGTTCGAAGCTGTATCACATGGGTATGATTGATTCACTTTTTGATGAGAGTAATTACACATAATCATATCAGAACAAGTAAAAGGTGTTTTCAGTCGGCCAGTAAAATTCTATTCATCGTAATCTTGTTTGGATTTGATTGATTAGAGTTTTAGGGAAACATGGATTGTGTTTTGTAAATGTAGATGTATGTAGAAGATCTATTTTTTTCATTTGATATTTGGAACGACTTGTCTTTTCTGTTCACACTGTTTGCTTTGCTTGAATTAGCATATGGTTTTAGAAAGGAGGTTTTACTTTCCTAATCAGATATTGATTTATTAAATATATTTGCTTGTATGCAAGAAAGCTTTTTGTCACCCTCATCTGTTGATAGTGATACACTTGTTGTGGCATTCTAGTTTGGTTCTCCTTTCGGAGAGCTGTTCCTTGATATGTTTTTTAGGAGAGCCTTCACTTATGAGGAAGAAATTCAATTATTTGTTGGTTTATTGTAGTGAGATTTGGACTGAGAATCTGCTGATGCTTTGATACGAGAATCTGAGATGCATGGTCTCAGTGAATGTAAAATGAATAAATTATATTACTATGTTTTTTACTTTTTCTTCTCAAAAGCAGCATTCTTGGGTAACGGGTTGGACACGTGACATTGAGAGAAGCATAAACGAGATGTTTTTAATAAAAATTGCTCATTTTGCATTTTCTTAATCTTTATGTATTGTGTTTTACTGTGAATGTACACTTGGTTTTTACAGGGAGAGGGTGTATGACATCAAGGATGACAATCTTGAAGGCAAGTATAAAGATTGGCAGAAGAAATTACATCCTGATCTAGTTCATACAAAATCTGAGGTGAAGTAGTATTTATAAAACTTGTACACTATTTGTTCTACATTTCAGTTATCAAGTTACTTATTTTTTTTCTGGATCTATTTCTTTGATATAGAAGGAAAAATCTTTTGCTGGTGAACAGTCATCTAGAGTGACTGATGCATATCGCACACTCGGTAGGCCATTGTCAAGGGCATTGTACCTCGTAAGTCTTTCTTCTTTTTAATACATCTATGTGGTCTTTCATCTATATTGTTTGGTTAGTGCTTCATCGAGTTTTCTGGTCCACTGGATACTTCTGTTTCAGTTAACAAATTTGCACAAATTGTTTCCCCCCTTAAATTATGTGGATCATTCTTTGAGATACTTAGATGTTTAGGGGTATGGCATAGTATGTTTTAGGTGTATGACATAGGACATGAAATTCTACCTAGCCTCTGGGTAGTTGCTCTCAAGTGCCCAAGCAACATCATTGTACTGATTGCTAAGTGTGAAAATAGATTTTTATGCAATAAGTGATGAGAGCATAGATTTGATGCTAAGAAACAGATTGCTTCTACCAATGTACTGATTGCTATTTGCTGGTTGCTATGAGTTCTGAAAAGAGAGATTATAGAATAAAGGAAGAAAGCTTCAAGTGATTTGAGTTAAAGTAAAAATATACGGTTTCCATCTTTGGGAATTTATTCTCATTGGCTCTTTCTATTCACCGCAGGTTGGGTATGATGCATGTGTGATGCCCACTAGCAAACCTATAATCCTTTTACTTATTTTGTACTGTTTTTTCAAACTAGGGGAAAATTTGAACTTTGATGAGGCTGGTTGCATGAGCTTGAAATGTATGACCAATAAGGTAGGTTTGCTACTTGCCAAATTATTTCTAGTTTTCCTTGGTCAAGGATTTTGCACCAATTTCTATGTTCTAGTATCCTTAACTAAGGGTTTGACCAATTTTATATTGTGTGACAATCAGTTATAAAATTGTCTAACCTTTGATGGATTCTTGTATATGACAATTGATCTATATTTCAATAGGAAAAGCCTTAGATGGTAACCATGATGATGCTGTTTCATTCACGGTATACTGCACTAACCCTTTCCTTAGAATAGGGTTGTCTACAGAGTAGAGGCTTTGTGGAAGATTAAATATATTTCACAATGAAATATCAAACCTCGTTTCAACATTTTGAGTTGCTCCAAGCTCCAAATTCCAACCAACGGAAATTATGAATGAGAGAGGGGGTTGCTATGTATCCTTTAAGGTCATTGTTGATTAGGTTAACCTACCTTATCGATCTTGTAGTTTATGCTCGTAGAACCGAGGAATTGACAAAGTTCTCCCAGAAGAAAAAAAAGGATATAAAGTTGTTATAAGAAATTTCAATGAATCACAAGAGTCAATATCAGCAAAAAGGACCAAGAAGAATGGGTTTTTAGAGGTAGTTCAAGTCAACTCGTAATCCTCTCTACCTTGGTTCAATATCCTACGACTCCTTTGCTACACCAATGCTACTTGAATCAAGATCCTCCCCGATGAATAAGATCCCATGTGCTCCCTTATTCACATGGAAGTAGGTGACGCTTACTGAACCCCATCAGGAACCCAGACAGTTAAGACGGCAATCTCTAGGCAAAGCAATAATTAAGCTTCTTTGCCATGTTACTTACTTGGAAGCAACTGGTTACATCTCCAATCAGGATCAACTAACGAAGTCAACTGTAACTATGATGTTAGGTATTCAGTAGGGGATTTCTAATCTTCTGTCCAGAACTGAACATTTTCTGTCTTTTTTTTCTTCTCTTTTTCTTTTTTTAAACTGATGGTTACGTTTATCCTGTCTCAATGCATAACACTGGTTCTTTTCTAACAGAAAAGTAGGCGCTGCTAACCTGACTTGCCTCCAGTGCATAATACTAGCCCTTTCCTAACAGAAAAGGAGGTACTGCTAAACTTTGACATTACCATTTATAAATGCAGTAGGAAGGTGTGTTGTTGGATTTTGCTGTACAATGCATCCAGTATTGTTTGTGTGAAACCCTCGCCATTGTCCTGATATACATTTATTAAACTTTAACCATACTTGACTTTGAGCAAATGATGTGTTTGAAAGGCTTGTCATCTAGTGTGTTGTTGAACAGAAGTTATGCTAAAGGTGAGATCAGAAAGGGCCCATATCACAACATTTGTAGGATCGTCGGCAAAAAAAAAAAAAATCCTTTTTTTTTGTTTGGGGGGGGGGGATCGTCGGCAAAAAAAAAAAAAATCCTTTTTTTTTGTTTGGGGGGGGGGATATCTACAGGGGACCCAGCTTTTCCCTGGTGGTTTTGGGTGCGGAGAGTCCCTCTCAAGCCCATGATTGTTAGTTTTCTTGGTTAAAATTTTCAAAATGGGTTTGCAGGGTAATCTGTGAGTGGACAACAAGAGGAAGGTCAAAGAATTGAGGGCTCTATGATGCAATCTACCCAGCACCCAATCATGTTCTGAGTTACTGGCTTTCTAACTTAGAGTCACCTGTATATGCGTTTCCAAAGTGAAATCTCTTTGATTATTGTTCATTTTGCTATTCTGGATAGGTATTGGGGATTTTAAGCAAGGTACTTGAATATGACAAAACTACCTGACCACTGCCTCAAGGACAACAAAGAGCTTCTGTCTGGACTTATGTAGTTCAGGACATGTTATAGTACAACTATCAATATTTATTCGTCATGCATACCTCACTCTTCTTTGTGTCAAATAAATATCTAGGTGATCTTTTTAGAAGAGAGCTTTTTTTGGGTAACTTTTAATGTTTATTTTTTTCTAACAGCTGCAACTTGAAGGCGTGCATATTGATGAAGAAAAAACACTCACAGACATGGATTTGCTTGCTGAGGTAATATGCTACACTGGGTTGATAATTCAAAGCTGCAGAGACTATATGACGCTTGCTGTAAATTTGTCAGCTAAAGTTACCGGTTCCACTTTGAATTACTTATTTCCCACTGTGCCTGATTGATGGGCATCATGAGTTTTCTTTACTGGCATCTGCTTCATTGCAACTCTGAAACTGTGTTGTTTGCAGATGATGGACATTAGAGAAGCAGTAGAAGAGGCCAGTGATTCTCAGGCACTAAAGCAGATTGAGTCTAAGGTTTTGGAATTTTTTTTGTCTTCCTGGGGAATGCATGTGTGCACCAATTATATTTATTAGCCCTTTTAACTTATTTCCTTGATTCTTTCATACTTATAATTTAGATTCGAATGAAGCTTGAAGCCTCATCTGAATTCTTCCGCGAAGCATTCAAGAAACGTGACTATGATGCTGCCATTGCTTCCACTGAGCGAATGAGATACTACGAGCGCGCAATTGAGGAAATTGTAAAGAAGACCTAAATCTCCTGACCAGAGTGTCAATTAACTTATTGGTTGCGATAATCATGCCATTTAATGTCCTCATGTCCCAGACCATCCCATGGTCTTATCTGTGTGATGCTGCAGTCAATAAAAACTTGAATCAAGCTCTTTTGTACAAATAAGTCGTATATACGAGTTTTTGTTAGTCGTACTTATTGTTGTAGATCAAATCTTAAGTAAAGAATCCTACCATGATGATTGCTGACAAGGAAAAGTTTTGATGAGCTTCGAACGCATTTATTTTTATTATTAAGGTTCTGGATTGGCTAAAATTACTTTAAAGAGATTCAAAGTTACAACAGGATTGCGTAGTGATCTGGGGGCTTGAGAAGGCTAGATGTCAAAATTTTCATGCTGTATGGTAAAATTAGACGGTATTTGCTATCGACTGAATCACTTAACACTTACAAATATTTGTTGGTTAATAAATCATACGTAGAGAACAATCATACATCAGAGATTTGCTCTTCATTTTCTATTAATTACAGATATCTCTAGCATTCCCAATAAAATACAGAGTGCAGAGGGATTATAAAAGATCTCAGTTATGGCATGCCTGAGAAGCTTGGAGTACGATTTAGCAAATGAGCTCCATATTTAGTAAACAAACCTAGTGTCCACAAATCACAATATAAACCTACAAAAGGAGACCAGAAAAAGAACAACCCAGAACAATTCAGGTGGTTTTACTCATCAAAGAAAACCAATAAAAAAAGAGGAAATAATATAAAATTAATACGAGACCATCCTTTGTCTCTTCAAATTCCATTTTGTTTGAAGTACAGAATGAGCTAAATATTGCTTCCCTTCCCTATTCAATCCATGAAACACTGTCCTAAAATTAACTGCACTGGGGATAATCCCTCTGTTCAACATTTCATGTATAAGTTTCAACCCATCCTCAGACTTCCCGGCTTTACACAAACAAGAAATGAACATAGAATAAGTCTCAAAATCAGGCAACAATCCTTTAAGTTTCAACTTACCAAATACATCCCAAGCATCAGAAACCATCCCCATATTCATATATCCACGAATCATCGCTGAATAAGTAACAAGGGTTGGCTCTATACCATCCTCTGTTATCTTATTGAATATTTCCAGCGCCTTTTCTATCTGCTCCTCTCTACAAAAATGAACGATAAATGATGTTTGTATGTGAACTGATTGATTAATACCTGCTCTTCTCATTTCCTCCACTTGGTCAAATGCTTCATTCAATTTCCCCTTTCTCAATAAAGCATGAACAATACTTCCATAAATAAACTGATCAATTGTGCATCCATCATTCTCCATTGCCTTGACATCTAAAAGAGCTTCTTCTACTTCTCCAGCTCGGCATAAACCCTTAACAAGCAATGAGTAACCGAGCTGCTTTGTGAATCCTTTCTTGATTAAAGATTTAATACATCTCCTGGCATCTATAAGCTTCCCTGATTCACATAAAGAAGACAGATAGATATCTGTTGTTTCTCTATCTGGCATGAATCCTTCATGAACCATCTCTTCAAATATTTTCTGGGCTTCTTCAAGCTTTCGCCCTTTCTTTCCGCAGAGAAACACAATTAAGTATTTGAAAGTGCTAGCATTTGGTTGAAACCCTTCATGTTTCATTTCTCTGAAAGTATTTAGAGCAATCTCAGTGAGACCGGCTTGACCATATTGAGATATCATAATGGTCCATGTGTTTGCTGTTATTGAGCAGCGGTTCCTCTTCATTTCTCTATAGAGCTCTCTCATACGCCTGAAATCTTTTGCACTGCCTGAAATTTTGATAGCCAAATTGTATGTCTCGGTTGTGTGCCTGATTTCTTTCCTTAGCCAGGAGAAGAATTTTAAAGAAGCATGGCCATGTCTCTGGCAACTATTAAGAACTGCCACTACAAGTTCAGAGGTGAAATGAATAGTACTTTTCTCGAGAAATTCTTCTATAGAATTCCAATCAGTAGAAGAGGATAAAATTCTGCACAATACTTTAAGATCTTCGTCCTTGTACTCCTTAGGTTTTAAACTATCCTCATTGGATGAGTAATTTTTCACATCATGCTCTCTTTGGATGGGCTTATCATCAATTGATTGATATACCCTTTTAGCCTGTAGGCTATTACTGAATTTGAAAGATTTAGACATCTCTTTGACGATATTTGCCTTCTCTATTTCACCAATTCTCGTAAGAGATGAAACAACAAAATCACAAATGTCATCAGTTGGGTTTAAGTTAGAAGCTACCATTTCATTCAGAAGCTTCAAAGCTTCATCAGGCTTTGATGCTTTACAAAGTTCTTTGATGAAAACCGAGTAGGCTTTTGAAGTAGGGTTTATACCTTTCTTGTTCATGCTCCCAAAAACCTCCCAAGCTTCAGAAACACAATTATGCTGAATGTGGCCAGCAATCATAGCTGTGGTTGCTACGACATCTGGTTTTATGCCATTTTCAATCATCTCCTCATAAATTTCACATGCTTTGTCATATTCATTTGACCTAAAGAGACACTGGATTATTTGCGTATAGGTTGAGACCAAGGGAACACATTTGAATTCTCTCATATCATGCAACAAAGTTAGGGCCTTTAAAATATCGCCATCTCTCAATAACCCATCAATGAGAATGCTATAAATTTTACTGTCAAGTGGTGAATGCTGTTTTATACTGTCTACAACTTTCATAGCTTCATCCATTCTGCTTGCTCTACAGAGCCCTTTCAGCAAGATTTCTGAAGCCTTTGAATCAATCACCACATTTTCCTTTTTTGTTTCCTCCAAAAGCGCTTGCGCTTCATCAGTCTTTCCTGAAACACAAAAACTTCTCAAAATACGAGCATAACCCTCATTCGCTGATACTTTCATACTCTTAATCAAGTCATCTCCAACCCCTCGAGCACCAGCTATATCCCCTGACCTACAAAGACAATTCATAAGTAACTCATAGAGTTTAATATCAATAACTTCAATATTTCTAGACTTCATTTCATTGTAAAACTCCATTGCAAGCTCACTTTTCCCTACGTTAATCAGAGCCCGAATAATTGCTTCATAAGCTTCACTATCAAGTTTGCAACCCGATTTTCTCATTTCCTCAAAAGAACTCAATGCTTTGCTTATCTTCTTCGCCTTTCCATAATACAAAATGAGAATGGTCCAGGTCTTTATATTCTTCAAACAAGACTCTTCATCCATTTCACCTGCCAATTTCTCAACCAAATCAATATCTCCAGAATCTCCGGCTATATAAATCATCGTATTGTAAGTCTCTGTAATGTGAGAAAACCCGGGTTGGAGCTTGACCCAGTTGAAGAACGTAAGAGCCAAATGCCCAACTTTGAAGCATCTCTTCAGCACTTTCTCCACGATCTCGGCACTCAATTCAACATCCATTTCATCCAACCTCTGCTCTATGGGAATTTGGGTATTATCAGAGCGTAAAACCTCAGTGATCCTATGAACAATTGGGCTAACATCAACCAAACTTGAACTGTCCACATGGGCTTTTTCTAACTGATTGGAATTTGGAAGACTTGAACTCTCTCGGGCAATTCGACAAACAGTTGGAGTGCTTGGATTGTTGACCCTTGCTTCGTTAGAGAAAGAGAACGCAGGGTCTTCAGAGCCAACCAGCTCTGTAATCCTCTGGAAAAATGAAGGAGAGGGGTTTTTAGGGTTGGGTTTTTTGGAGCCTGAGCTTTTGCGAGGGTGTGAGCGTTTGTTTGAGGATTTGGGACGAGAAGAGAGATGAGAGGAATGGATCTTGATGGTGGGATTTTTGTGGTGTTTGAAATTTGAAGAGAAGAATTTGGGAATTCTCATTTCTTGAGTTGGAGCAGGAGAGAGTCTGCTGTCTGTAACTAAGCTGAAGAATCGAGTTATAATTCAACCCAAGTTGATGGAAATTTCGGTTCACCGTTTACCCTACTAACTTGTTTTTTAAACTGTAAATTGTAGATAAGTGTCTTTTATCTAGGTCCTTGGTAGTTTAGTAAATAACTCGGGTCTTATAAAAAAAAGGCTAAATAATCATTTTGGTATTTTTTTTTTGTAAATCCTTCTTATCAATTTAATTTTTTTACATGACGCTTCAATGTCTTTTTCTATACCAAACATGCAATTAGACCCACAATTTCGCTACATGTTAAACAGAAAGCAACAGTTTTCAGGGGTGTTAGTGAATTGGAATATTTTCATACAAAATGGAATAATTTTTCGTTAGTGGGATAAATAGGAGCAATTTTGTGAAGCGGTATATCATACTCCCTTTAAAAGCACGAGTTCGGAAAATCTTTTTAGACAAATATACCCTTTTATAGTTTGAACTACCTTATCTATAATCAAATCCTAATTTTCAATGGTCAATATTACCCTTCACTATTTTGAATATTTTATTTATATCTTATTCTATCCTAATCATAGTCATATCTTATCCTAATCCTATGTGAACCATGTTTAGCTTAACAGTTTAAAAAAACTAATATTAATAAAATATAAAAAATAAAAATGATATTAGTTTGTTAAGATAAAGAAATTACAAGTAGATAACATATTATAATACATGAAGTATTGCAAAAAAACAATAAAAAGTTTTAAAATTGCAGAAAAGACCCTGAAAAGTTCAAAATTATAAAACTCATCCAAATGTCTCAAAACTTAAAATAAAAAACATGAAATTAAAAAATTAACATCAGTTTGCAAAGAATTTAAAATTTACAGTTAACACCTCAATGTCTCAAAAATTATAGAAACACCCTTAAAAGTTTAAATTACAGACAAGCACATTAAATTTCTAAAATTTTAAAACTTACAAACAACACAGATGAATTCAAGAGATTACCATGATACACCTAAAATTTTTAACATTTAAATTTAAATTTTTTAATTAACACCCTCAATATCTCAAAAATTATAGAAACACCTTCAAAAGTTCAAATTAAAAAAAACCACCCTAAAATTCTAAAATTTGTAAATAAAATAAGATGAATTCAAGATATTACCCTTAGACACCTAAAAAATTAAAATTTGCCAAAATTAACCTCAAAATTTTTAAAAAACTACTTCAAAATTTAAAAATCGTAAAAAAAACTCTAAATTTTCAAAATTTTTAACTAGCACACATCAAATTCGTCGATTGGTAGACCGCTAAAATTTAATATTTTTCAAAATTAATCTATAGTTTTAATAATTACATATATATATATATATATATATATATATTAAAATTTCTAATTTAGGGATTTACTATCCATTTTCAGCATCTAAGAATAGTCTAAGTTGATACTGGTAAACAAAAACAATAAGAATTGATTAAAAACATCCGGTTAATGGATAAAATTTTTAAAAATATTATAGATTAAAAATTATCGGCACTATATAAATTAAAGTAATTTCATATAATTTTAGTAATAAGTTGGGGTAGCCAAAATACATTCGTAACATTAATTGATAGATGTTTAAATCCATAGAAATGATAAAACACTATAATATTATACCTTAGCATTAATTGATTTTAATTTAGAAACTTTAATCTTTGACGTTAATAATATTTATAGGGTAAAAGAATACAAGGAATTACATATGGAGAAACTATTAGAATATTTAGAGATAACTTTAAAAGAATTGAGTTATTTCCATTGCAAATGGGAAAGTGATGGAAATAAATCTAAAATTCAGAAAACGTCAATGAATCACTTGAATTGGCATTAACATAAGACATATCTATTAATGAAGCACTGAATGAGTTACATTAAAAAATAATTTAATAACTTTATCCTAATCAAAGAAAAAATCTCCATGGAAGACATAAGAAAAATTAGTAAGTATTCATAAATTCCATACTGTGTTCTTCAAATTAAATATTAATATTATAATCTAAGAGAAATTGGTAATGAATAATGCAGGTATTTAGTTTAGATCTTTATGGAAAATGACAGGGATAGAGCAAAGGTAATATTATTGAAATAACAGAAATTCTTATTGGATGCACATCAGAAGAATTCATTTTAGAGGAAAATAAAGAGATAGCTTCTAATTTATTTAAGTAATAAATTAGGAACACAAAGAATTTTATATATATGAAATTAATATTTATTCTCATTGAAATAGAAAAAAAATCAAAGTCTATATTTTGAGCAGTTTGTGTTGAACATCATAAGTACATTTGACTTCTTTGTAAAGTTAAATGAGATGATAAAAAATTAACGAGCCTAGGAAAGATAATAGCATAAAAAATACAAAATTAGCCTGATGTCACAATTGATGTAGATGATGAAGACAATACTCTAGAATTATCCGAGAAATAATAAATGATAAACCTGAAGAAGGATACATCTTAACTCAATAAAAAATAAAATAGAAGAAATAAAAACAATATTTTATGAATATTTTATAGAATAGTTTAATTATTTTGAGTGAAATTAGGAATCTTTAGAAGGGAGTTTCATGAATTTTTTTCAGTACTTTTATATTCTAATGTGGATGTTTTTATCATATAAAAGTATACTAGAGTTAGCATTAATCTTTAATTTATATTTTTTTATGAAGTCTATCAATGATTAGGAATAAACTTCATATTCTCTTTTGCATCGTTTTAACATACTTTAAATCAATCATTTTGCCATATTGGTTTTAAATATTCACCTTCCTTGTATAACACTATTTTAATATTTTTCACTTTGCAATGCTATACTTTCTCAAATAAAGCTTAGTTTCATATCGGTCAAAAATAATATGAAAATTCAAATTATTTTTAAATTATATTTGTTTTTTGTCAATTCAAATATCAACATGAAAATTTAAATTGGGTGTATCCCATTTAAACAAACATAAAAAAATAATCGGGATGTAAGAGTTTAAAGAAAAAAATAAGCACAAACTGCCAAAAATACTTAATCATGGTATTAAATCACGTGCATTGCACGTGTGTAAAAACTAGTTTTAATAAAATAACGTGAGATAAATTTTTATAATCATGAAATATATATTTATGCATTTTGAAGATATAAATACTATTTATGTATTTTAAACTTACTATTATTGGTTGATAATTAGTTATAAGAATGTTCTTTACTATTAAATAAATTTTGGTTAGACTATAAGATATTGACAATTATTATTATAATGATGGTCTAATGATGGTGATAACCATAATAGGAAAGAAGTAAAGAAAAAATATAAAAAAAAATAAAAAATAACAAAATAAATATGAGTTATAGTTTTTTACCACCTAGTTCCAAGCTAAAACTTAGAATAATTTGAGAGAATAGAACTCTCATTTTTGTATAGAAAAATAAAAAAAGTGGGATAATTTTGTATCATTATCCTAATTCTAGTTTTGTTAGAGTTCTACTTGACTAACACCGTAAAATTTTATTCTAGTTTTAGTTCTATGTGACTAACACCTTAAAAATTTATCTCACAAATTATCCTAGTTCCAATTTTAATTCTAGGTGACTAACCGCACTTAAGCAGTTTTTGGTATCTCAAGCTTTTACTTTACTATATTTGAAAATAATATTGTATCCTTCTCTTGTTTGTCTAGAATATATTTTATTGTATTGAATTTAACATTTTCACATAAGCTTGGATACTGTTATCATCTTTATACCAATGTGCTAAATAAATTTCTATTATTTTTCTCGTGAATAAGATAGCAATAATAGGATCACGTGAGGTTTCATAGCTTTTTTTCGCTGATGGCAAAATTTTGGATACCAGTTAGCTTAAAGGAAATATTAAAACGTTGGGGGGGGGGGAGCAAGGAATAGTAAGACGGGTGTATTAAAAATACCAATATGGTAACTAGTAGGGGTGCATTCGGTTCGGATACGGCTCAGACATGATGCTTACTATATTCATATCCGCTTATTCATCTCGGATACGGATATACCTCGGTAAAAAAAAATTATAACATATCCGCTAAAATCGGATACGGTTATGGATATACATGCGGATACAAAACAGATATGAGAAAACTAGATAGTATTGAGAAAACATAGTTCATGTGATACAAAGGAGTTTGTTAATATGTCCATTATAACTAAAAAGTTAAGATTATATATCTTGATCATCAAAATTAACCACAAATCCATAATCTAAGAATCGAAACAATCGTAAGAGTATGACTAATATGTATTCGGATATTTCGGATACGGATACATATATTTCATTACAAAACCATATCCTATCGGTTATAGATTTGAGTAACCATATTCGTATCCTAACGGATACGGTTACGGATATTTCATCGGATACGGATACGGTTTAGCACCCCTAGTAACTAGGCCTTAAGAAACGGAAATGACAGGGCTTACAAGTGTCAGCCTATTGGGACAGATCATCCCACCTTCATTAGATAAAGCCCAAATCGGATCAGGCCTACGTTAGTCCAACTCATAAGCCGACCCACCGAAACCCGCTATAAAATCCCCCTGTCGCTCTTTCCATTTCTCAGTGGATTGCGCTTCAAGAAACCTTCCGATCAAGAGAAAGTTCGAGAGAGAGAGAGAGAGAGAGAGAGAGAGAGAGAGAGATGGGGTGGAAATGGGAAGACGAAGGCGACGACGAGCAATGGAATTCGATCTCGATATCATCACGAAAAGGAAAAGGAGGATTTGGGGATCTCGTGAACCCTAACCCTAGGGATTCGATGGAGGAGCACTGCTCAACGAGGAGGATCGTGAGATCGAGCTGCAGGACCGAGGAGGTGGAGCCCGGGCGATTCGTTAGGAAGTGCGATAAGACTGAAGAGATCCTTAGGGATTGTCTTGGGAGGTACTGAATTTGCCCTAATTTTTTTTGTTATCTTAGAAGTTTTCATTGTTTTTCTGCTTTCAGTTGTAACCCTAGGGTTTCTATTGGGTCATGATTCTTGAATCTGTGCTTTTATCTGTCTACTTTTTTTCTAAACCTTAACACAACGATAAATTTGGGGGTGTTTTTTCGTTCGAGTATATGATAATTAAATATTTAATTCTCTTCATATTTTGAGAATCAATGTTTGAACTTTGAAGGAGGATTTTAAAGGAATTGAAAGACAAGGTCATGTTAGTAATATTGGTTAATTACGGAAAAGCCCCCTGAACTTTGAGGGACTCGCACTAAACTCCTCTCAACTTCTTTAATTCCACCAGACCCCTCTGAACTTTAGGAGCTATTGTATGTAACCCCTTAAACTCTTTCATTCCACTAAATTTCACATGAAAATTGCTCATTTAATCTCCAAATTAGCACCATCGACTCTAACATCTCACATCTCATGTGGCAAGCTTGTGCGAAAAAGAATAACTCTTTAGCAAGGTTATCGATAGCGGATAGCATGATGTAGCAGTGAGGTACCACTAAGGCTATTTGCACCTATAGCGGCAAATTAGCAGCAAATAATGCATAGTCAAATAACGGTCAAATTTAAATATATCTAAATATTCTTAAAAAAGAAAACTATAAAAAAATCTAAAAATTTTGTGAATGCATATTTGATTATTTGTAGAGATCCTAAGCATGAAATAGATGTGTAACAATTGCAAAGTACTATTAAAAAGCGTACCTATTTATACAAAAGACCGATATTTATCTCATTCCTTCAAATTTCAAGTCTCTAATACAAAAACTCTCAACAATAGATGAGCATCGATTAGTAACGCCATCATTACATTAACTATTCAAAACTTATCGTAAAAATAAAATCTTCAAGCATGGATAAATGAGCAACGCAAGATAATGTCATGATAGATAATAACGTCTATAAAGGGAGAGAACCGGAGAGAGATGGAGAGAATCGTCGGCTAGCGTTTTTTTTCCTTTTGTCAAAGAAGGGGGAGAGAAAAAGATATCTGATAAAGTTTTAAATGATAAAATGGGTCGGTAGAATATAAAAGGTATCCACCACATAAAAGCATGTTTTAGTGCTTAAAAGTGTTATTCGGCGCTTTAACCGTTAAAAACCGTTATGACGTGCAATCACAAGCAAATAGCGGTTTTGGCTGCTATTTGCTACCACTTTCACTGATAACATAGTGGCAGTTAGCGCTAATGCCGTGAAAACCGCTATAATGGCGTTATGCACCGCTATTTACAACGATGCCCTTTGGCCCCAAAAAGTTAGTTATTTTCCCTTTTTAATAAAAGGGTAAGGAATTTTTGTCTATATCTTGACATGTGCTTACCCACTGATGATATGAGGATAGAATGAGAAACTTTCATGTAAGATCTAGTGGAATAAAAAGATAAAGGGGCTTATGTGCCTTTTTTCCTGGGGGGGGCAATAGTGGAATAAAAAAGTTGAGGGGGTTAGTGTAACTCCCCCAAAGTTCAGGGGTGTTGTCTGTGATTAACCCTAATAATATCCGGTGTCTTTTGTATTTGCATCACATGACTGGAACTGGAAAAAATTCTCAATTGGATGCAGGAGTGTAGTTGACATCTCTGCACAAATAGTGGAATGTCGGGAGAGAGAACTACATCAACCAAATGACCCTTTCCAAAGATATGAATTTCAAGCTACATTCTGAGTTTTCAACTAAAGAATGATGTGTAGTTCTAGTTGGAGCTGCGTAGCTTTTTTGGTTGATAGTGACCCTTTTGAGTATTTCTCTTTTGTTGCATGATCAATGGGCTCTATCCTATTACCAATTTGGGTGTAAGGTAAATTCTTTAACTTAGGCCTACTTAGAGTGATTTTTTCTATAAGCCCCCTAGTTGAAATAAATTCCATGTTATATCAAACAAATGTTGAGTTAGGTTCGAGCCAATTTCATTTTTACCCTTTTACCAACCATGTAAATATGAAATGGTGTGTGGTGAAACCACCCACGTACACCTTAAATGGCACACAACTGAAGAGATAGCTAGATGTGCAAGACTGAATGTAGATTCACGGTAACAAAACTTAAGGTTGCATAGAACTTAGCTTGCCATATTCATGTACGTATTTTAATTTTTGTACATTTATTTATAATGTATTTTTCAATGAATATAGATATAGCTATACCTGTATGGTCGTGACACACTAAGTAAGCACTCTTATTCCCTTAAAATATGGAATTGATTTCTAAGTTGAAGCTGTTAAATTTGCAGTTTAGTTCTCTTATAAAAACTACTTAAGCCTTTTTATTTACTATTTTGTTCTTGTATAAATTGCATTAATACCACTAGTTTAACGAAAAAAGAAATCCGCCTAGGTGCCAGCCTGTTGTCTAAGCTTTCTATAACATTGGCATTTGCTATCAATTATCAAAAAATAAAAATTAGAAAAACTGTCTAGGCCCCACTTAGGCTCTAGGTGTTAGGTTCAACACATAAGCCGCTTAGTGCTTTTTGTAACCTTGTTCATATGGCATATTTGTGAAAACTAGCTCAATAATTGTATATATCATTAAGAAATTATATATTTGTAAATGTATTATGGAATCATGGGAGCTCGATGCCAAGAGATGTCATTCATTTCTTCTCACTTTGTTGAATTTCCTCATATATGTGTAGTTTGTTATACATGCTTTGTGATTCGTCGATATGTAAATTTGTTAAATTGCACCATGTGATATACCTTAGTAGCTTACCGTGAGTTGGTTGTGGAATTACATTAGAGGAGCAAATATATAAATAATTGACATCCTTCAATATTAGTGATTTTTTTAGCATGATCTTTTTTAATGGAATATAATTTGGCCATCATGTAGATCAAGCATCCTTCAAATTTAATCAGTCTTTGGTCTTACGAATCCTATGATACAATCCATCTCAACTCCTAATGGTGGTTTACATGCGACAATGTGTGTGCGCGCGCGTGTATATATATAGTGGCGGAGCAGGAATTTCGGCAAGGGGGTCCAAAAAAAGGTTAAACCCTCATTTTTGAAAAAAGAAGTCTCTTTAAGAAATTGTTTCATAAATGATTCACTATGTTAGCCCTTAAATCTTTCATATTTTGAAATTAATCCCTCAAATCATTAAAATTGCTACTAGGTCCCTCAAAATTTGATTTAATTTTAGATTATTTTATCCATTGAAGAATATAAATAGTGATTGTAGAGATTAAATTTGAAAAAAATTATGAGAATTGGAAGAGCTAATAGCCAAAATTTAAATGTCGGATGTCAGGTTTATGTCGGACGGTTAAAATTCATGTCGTACAGCGGAAATCGAGGATATATTAGGGTACGTGAAAAAAAATCAGATTGCCATATCGGATGGTGTGCATATATGTGTAATATAATATCATAAATAAAATGTAAACATACTAAATAAATTCTTTTGTTTAAACATATAAAAAAGTAAGGAGAGAGAAAACCTATGTTGCCGGTTAAGGAGAGAGAAGACCAGTGCGATGTTGATGTCGAAGAAACATGAGAGAGAAGAGATCGATGAGATGTCAAAGGAGAGAAAGAAGCAAAGCGGCGGAAATGAGTCTTGGTCTTCTTTTTACCTTAACTATTGAGTTTTCTCTTTGGAAGCAATATCAAGTCAATCGGGTTTAGGTTTTGTATTACAAACCCAATCCGAATAGAGAAAACATAAATTTAAAAAAAAAACTATATCGGCTGATTTTTTAGACTGAAAAGTCAAAGATAACCGACATCTGCAGCGATATGTCCGACATGAACCATGAAAATGCAACATGCCTTGAGAAGCTCCATATTGTGTCGGTTGACCCTTGAACCTGATATGTTAGCCACCATGTCCGACATGGCGACTGACATTTAAAACACTAATAATAGTCCACAACGATATATTTTACTTGTAATCACTCTAATTGGAGTGATTAATTTCTAACTAAGTTAAGAATTGAGGAACATAATAGGAACATTTGAGGGGTTTATTTCAAAATAACCTTGGGGTTAATTTTAAATTAACCTTAGCATTGAGACACCTAATAGCAATTTCCATGATTTAAGGGACCAATCTCAAAATATGAAAGATTTAAGGGACAATACGGAAAAAATCCTAATATCGAATCTTTTTTGTTTCCTTCCGTTGAGCTGGCGTGTATAATGTTAATTACATTCCAGAGTCCTCTTTAAATATTAAAAAAGAAACAATGAAAAGGGTGTAGGAGGGAGGCTTAAGTCATATCCCTCTATCTAGAGCAAATTTTAAAAAGTAACTGCACAGGGTGTAGGAGGGAGGCTTAAGTTATTTCCCTTGAATTAATTTCCCTTGAATTAATTAATTAGTTATCACCAAAATGCAACTTCTTATGCATACCTTGTAGCTTTTAAGCCGCTACAAACAAGAGATGTATTCTATGGAAGAAAAGGGTAGAAGTAAGTCACTTGAGTGGTATTTCTAACCTCAACTATTCTAGCTCAACAACACGCGCACTCACACACAAGCTAACACAGCGCTAAAGCGAAAACCTCGGAATCCACCAAGGCGTGCTCTTTGAATTCACAAAGAACAATCTCCGAATCCACAAAGAAAGTATTAAAAGAGAAATTTTATTAATGAAAAGTTACGTCTTTAGGGCTTACAATCCTCTGCTTGAATAGAAAATAAACAAGACTCCTACTAAGACCCGAACTTTACCAGAAGTAGAAATAACAAAACTATCCTTAAAAGACTCCCTATGATTAGGGAAGCAAATTCGTCAAATTTGGAAGCAAACCGGTCAAATTTGGAATCAAACCAGATTTGTTTCCTAATCAAAACATACTCCTAAAATATTACCTAAAATAGTAAAAACTAACAAAGACTCTGATATCTCTCAATCCAAAGGGAATTGTGCGAAATAGACGACGGCAAACCAAACAACGGTCTGTTTGGTTAACTCCGTCTTGAAAAAACACGTGATTTATATATAATTCCTCCAATTCCTACGAACGGTTTGGGCGATATGACCCGTTCTTCGTTACAAATTATTTTCCTTTGTTGGGCTCGCGTTTGGGTTTCGACGGTCCCGTTTCTTCATGAATATATCCGTAGTGCATTCTACATCACGAGCCCCTTGATGTGATATGAACACTTTCTCATCTTCTATATTATGGTGCTGTGTCCTATTGTTCAAACAACCATCCATTGAGCAGCCACTTGATGCGTGGTTAGAGGTATGAACAATATGGATTCAGATGTTCCAACTTCCTAGTTGATTTTTGTCCAGACTCTTTACATAGATACTGAAGGAACAGTGGAGCCACCTTTGAAACTCTGTTGCAAAATACTTGCAGCTTGTTTAAAGGCGCATGCAGTTTCTTGTAGATACTCTTTCATCTTACTCTTTGTCTAGATCTTTCATATCTTAGCTAATTTGTACGTCTATTATGGATGTCGTGAACTTGATTAGCATAGCTGTATAGCTAGAAAAGAGCAGATCCATTTACCACTATTTGTTATTGGTATTAGCCCCATCATCTGTAGTCAGTCTGACAAATACTTGTAATAAAAGGTGCTACTAAAATCTGTAACATGATAATGGTAGTGTTGCAGCTCTGTACTATTGTCAGTCTATTGAAATCCAATTTGTCTTTAGATTTAACTGGATGGTCCTGGAGGCAATTTATTTTGCAGTGCTGGTATAATCAGCTGTCAAGTCAGAACCAACACTCAACCTTGATGCCGGAACTTGATTTTAGTGATAGCATGTGAGTATGCTGATATTGTCTCTGGGACGGTACAAGTATTATGGATAGGACGATACCCTCTGAAAGCAGGCATTATGGCCACCTTTCATGAATAGATTTATTTTCATCGATACTTAAGAATTCACATTCTAGCTTGATGATGCGAGTTAAAAGGAGTATCCATGATTCCATCAATTCCAGAACATTTTTGACAAGCCTATAGATATCATTTGTGCATGTTGCAACAGGTTTTTAAAATGTATATCATTGACCAACAAGGTTTTATAGAATGTTAAAAGTGATCAACTTAAGAATCTTCATTCTTCTCGCATATTAGAACTTTAATTGATAATGTGTAACCATATCATAGATTCCGAACATTAACCTTTCGTGAAAAGTTTAATTGTTAATATGTTACCATATCATAGACTGGGAGCCACTAACAATTCATGACATATGTATATATTAATTTTGCTTCTAATTGCATGTTATATTGGCAAGTCCATCAAATAACATTAGATTGTTCGGAAGTGAAGCGAATATGGTGACCTTTGTTCTTAAAGAAGGCTATGATTATTGTGATCAAATTATTTTAAACATCTAGCTATTTATGTTCTGCCAAGCTCACCTAGACCCATGGCATTTGGCACAAGATGGTGTGATCGAATTGTTTAAACCAGTTGTTTACTCTTTTCCGACACATTCTTCAATGGTGTGTTTGATATCTATGGGAACAATTTGATGAATTGAAATTTTCAAGTGCTTTTAGTGACTATAGTCTCTTTTCCTCTTTAAGGCCTGTAGAAGTCGTGGAATCTAAAACCGAGCGCACTGAGGAGGATGTTACAGATGAAGTAACCAGCGGCAGGCACTCTTTCGAGTCATCAGGAGTTGTGCCTTTCAATTTTCCTGGGCTCCGTAGCGACATTGACTCCATTGAACGAGGCTTGTTTGGCGGCCTGAATCAGTTCCTGGAGGCAGCTGAAGAGATGGCCAACGGAATCTTCGGATCTTTCAACATCCCCAGTCGCCGCAATGGAGAAACTCCACCATTTGGTAGATCTTTCCCTGCAGAGAAGCAGTATGAAAGAGATGCTTCTAAGCAAAAGGATGATCCTTATTCTGAGCTGGCAGGAGAGGTTACAGATGTGTAACTTCCCTAAGTTTCAAGATGCTGTCATTGATTCAGAAAGCTGCTTTTTGTGAGCGAAGATAAAGTGATGTGAACCATACGGTGTCAGATATGCAAGTATGTTATTAATATTATGATGGTATAAAGTATGTTACTATGTTACTGTTCCCAATTTTGCTGACAGATCGTATAACTATATATGTAGAGTACGCTGACCCATGGGCGCGCTGTTGTTTCAAGGATGTTGATCGTATCATGTTCGATCAAATATTTGTATTATGATATCCAATCCAGCGCGTCCTCATTGGCGATCGTGAGTTAATCTTACATACGCTCAGTTTAGACTGCCGTGAGGTTCGCTGGCTTGTTAACTTGGGATTTTAAGCGATCAATTTTAGGTACTTTTGGAGCGCGAAAGGTTCGGTTGGTATTCTATTCTAGCAAATCTCATTTAGAATCTTTGATAATTTTGCCATTGCACGCAGGTCTCTATGCATCGTTCTATATTTCCCCCCCAATTAATTTCTTGTGTGTGTGTCTCTCTTCAGAACGTGTGCGCAACTTACGATTTCCGTTGGGACTTCTAATCTAATAGAACAATGGATTTTTTGTGCTGGATATTGACGATACTTATCTATTCATATTTAACTTATTGAAAAGTGTGATAAATTATTATTATTATTATTTCGGAGAAGCAAGTCCATGCGTTTATGTGAACCGTCATCTAATGTTTTGGACACCGTTAACTGTAGTTTTTTAGTTTAGCTATTACAGTACCAATTTAGATTTCATCAATTCGTTTGATTTCATTGTTCAAAGCTGAAACATAAGTTGACACTTGAAATAATAGTAAAATGAAGATCAACTAAAATTTAAATTTTATTGATGCCCTTTCTAGTTTCTACCAAGAGATTTCGGAAATGCCTAATATGATCACTGTGAATGATTCAAAGGGGTAGAAGTCTCTATTTAATTGTAGCTGGGGATTTTCAACGCCATTAACTCTCCACTACTCGAACATTATGAGGTCGTTGGAAGCATCCCCTATGGCCCTATCCAATGGATTACCCGCCCTCAGCTTACAAATGCGCAAAGTTTCCTCCTCACATATATGAGCTTTGCTACAATGACCCAAAATATGGGACCAACAGAGATACAAGTGATGTGTCACTCTCCTATTGCATAATGAGTTGGTCATCATTAATGATAACCAACTCAATAGGAGAGGGATAACTCACATGTCCCCTACTTGGTCCCATATTTTGGGTCCTTGTGAAAATTTTCTTTCTTTTGTCTTCGGGGTTTAAAAAATTAAATAATCTGTTCCTTTCGGCCTTTGTTTAAGTTCCAAACCATGACCATCAAATTTATGTACGAATGCAGAACAATTAACTTAGTCTAGAGTTGAATTATTATTTATATCAATCAAAGTGCACCGATGTCACCGAGGCTAGACCAAGTAAATGTGATACCCTAAAAACGAAAAAAAATGATAGAAGAAGACGGAGGCCAGGATCAGTTTGATATTGAATTTTTACTACGTTTTTTTTAAGAAGCAGTCAATATTGATGTTTAAAAACCTTTTATCTTGCTTCTTCGAACTGCTGCTGCATCTTCTTCTTCTTTTTTTTGAAAGCAAAATTGACAATGCTTTTATATTTTCTTTTTATTCTTTGTAGTTTTTATATGAGATTTACTCTTTACCTTTGACAACATTATCTTATTTGTCCT